TAGAATCCTGATAATGCATGGTATGATATGGCAATGGAAATACATTGTTTACTCTTATTCAAATGTTTACTTGTAGGAATCAAGGTTCTGAGTGACTATTTGATAAGTTAGAACATTTTTATTAAACTAATGAGTAGAATGAGATTGGCTAGTTATTCCTAACTGTACTATACAAAATAGGAAAAGAAAAAGATGGTCTCTGGAATTCCTTTGCCAGCTCATATTGCACACAAATAATCTGCGGGTTTTATCTGGTCCCAAAGAAGCTATTTATGTCCTGTAATCATAAAGCTGAGATTGCTGAAAACCAAACTCAGCATCTCATCCTGCAGATGGCTGAATTACAATGCAAACTGAATTCCCAACCTTGCAGGTGTCTGCTGTTAAAGTGAGTGCACTGACTGAGAAGGAATGGGATCCTGAAAATTGGGTTGGGGACTTATGAGAAGAGCCTGATGAAGCTGGGCACATCAAGCCCTTTGACTCTAATGAGGCTTCTTTGCCGGTAGATGCACCCTTCCCACCACAGGTCTAAGGAGATTAACCCTACTTTGCCTGTGGAAACTTTTATGACCTCCTCCAAGATTGTTGCCTTGCAAGACAAAATTGATTCTCAGGACTCCAGACAACCACCTCTTCATTGCTTATAGATCTATAACTGGACTTAAGTAGACCCTGAAAAGTAATGTGAAAAGTGTGACTCATAAGGAGGTATACTCTACTCCAAAGGAGCTATGTAATTTTTCCAATTTATACATACAGAAATTAGGGGAATATTTGTGGGAATAGAGATTGAGGGTGTGGACAAAGATAGAAGGGACATAAAGTTGGGTCAGGCTGAATTTATTTTCTGAGTCCACTAAGAAGAGATTCTGAATTTAGTGTTGTAGTAGTTTAGAGGATTAGAAAGGATTCTAACAGTTTATTTGGTTGGTGGTCTACTTTAATTGAGTTCTAAATACCAGTACATCCTAATATAAAACAGAGGAAGGTGTCCAAAGGCTCAGAGAGATAGGAATGTTAGAGTGGATTTATCATGGAAGACATGCTTCACCTACTGTAGGAGGGCCTAGAGGACATAGCTTTCTCATTACTGTGAGAAATGTATTTGTAAGGCAAATTCTGCTATTACTCTTCTCTGTAGGTCAGAAATCACAGTAGAAATTGATGCCACTGCATTGGGAAACCTAAATACAGTGGGTATAATTGGATTACAGACAGAATTACAGACCCTTAATCATTTCCCAGACTTGAGCCAGGACTCATTTAATGAATTGGAGGTCAGGATAGGTCTGTAAGGAGAGATGCCAGTATGTTATCAAAATTATACTGTTAACCTTTCTTCCAACCTCTGAAAGGGACATATAACCTTTTACTAAGGTGACTGCATTGGGAAAACGCAAATGATTAGACCTTTTGGAGACTACTGAACTGACACTAATTCCGGGAGACCTAACACATTACTGTGATCTCTCAGTCACAATAGGGTATTATGGAAATCTGTGTTCAATGATGTTTTAGTTTAGGTTCATTTCACAGTGGATTCAGTAGGACTTTGAATTCATATTTTGGTTATTTCATGATATATAATCTAAGTATTTGTTCTCTGACCTGTGGAGTGAGGGCTATTATAGTGGGAAAGACTTTTATAGTGAAAGAGTAAATTAAAACAATAGTGTATTTCTAGAAAGGTTGTAGATATTAGTGTCACCATCAAGGACCTAAAGGGTAAAGTGGTGGTGATTTCTACCACATCCCAATTTAACCCCACCCATTAGGCCTATACTAAAAACAGATGAATTTTGGAGATTGACAATGGGTTACTATACGCCTTCTCAGATAGTGACTCTGGTTGCAGCTGACATACCAGTTGTAGTCTCATTGCTTTTAAAAATTGGCATTATCCTCTTATATCTGGTATGATCTGTCAAGTGCCCTTACCTGCATAGTAGTAAAGAGCATCAGAAATAGTTTGCTTTCAGCTAGAAAAGTCACAATTCACATTTACCATCACATTTGTATGTTAGAGGGTGGGAAGTAAATCCAACTGAAATCCAAAGATCTTATACCTCAGTGAAGTTTCTAGGGATGCACTTGTGTAGGAAATGTTGAGATAATCCCTTCTTAGGTGAATGATTTTATTGGTGAATTGCTATATCTGGCTTTTACAATGAAAAGGGAGATTAACCCTACTTTGCCTGTGGAAACTTTTATGACCTCCTCCAAGATTGTTGCCTTGCAAGACAAAATTGATTCTCAGGACTCCAGACAACCACCTCTCTGGGCAAAAAACACAAAGATATTTATGTCTTCTGTGAATGCAAAAGTAAGAGAACTTTAATAATCAAGTGTGGTATTTGTTCTGTGGGTATTGATAGTCAGACTGTTTCCCTAGCCACCCTGTCATTGGACAATGGACTTACAAAGCAGGCTTGTCAGCAGGGATGAAGGTTATATATGCACTCAGCAATGTGTAGTTCCATTCACCAAGGCCAACCTGGCTATAGCCACTGCTGAGTTCTCATCTGCCAGCAACAGAGACCAACACTGAGTCTCCAGTATGCCACCATTCCCAGGGGTGATCAGCCATAGTGGCAGTTTGATTACAATGGGCTGCTTTTATTATGGAAGAAACAGTGCTTTTTTGCTTATTAAATAGAAAATTACTCTGGATATATATTTGTCTTCCCTGCACACAGTGCTTCAGTGCTTCTGGCAAATTTACCATCCATAGACCTACAAAATACCTTACATGATATTCCACACAGATTGCTTCTGGTTAGGGAACACATATTTTGGCAAATGGTTTGTAGCAGTGGGTTCATGCTCATGAAATTCACTAGTGTTATATCCCCCACTGTCTTTCAGCTAGCTTGATAGAATGTTGTCCTTTTGAAGACTCAATCACAGTGCCATATTTATGGAAATACCTTGCTGGAGTGGGCTGTATTCCCCAGGAAGCTGAATATGCCCCCAGATTAGTACAGTGCTGTTTCTGTCATAACTAGTATTCAGGAATCAAGGAGTGGACACAGGAGTGGCACCACTCACCATTATCCTTAGTGATCCATCCATTAGCACAATTTTTGTTTCATATCTCTGTGATCTTACACTCTGCTGACCTAGAATCTTAGAAACTCTCTTCATTAATGTTGCCTGACACTCAGTGAGGTCTTTCTTTCTGCATACTTGAGTGAGTCTTCCTTGAGAGTTAGAAAAGAGTGGAATTATTTTGAGACTGTGGATTCTAAAAGAATTGCTGCACAACATGGAACAAACTACTAAGAGTAGGTTCTTTCAAGAATGATAATAGCTCTTCTTCAAAGGATTGTTTGAAATTTATAAGGTGATATGTATAGCATAACTTCCTACTCAGACCCACTCAGCATGTTTGTACTATATTCTGTTTAGGGGACTTTTCTATGATCAGTTGGGTTATTTCCCACTGTGTCTTATAAAATTTTGTTTCTGAAATTTCTTTTATATATCCCCTTTGTTTGCTTGATGTCCTTTTAGCATATTAGTCATTATTGTCATCTTTATCACTTTTTTCTTCAAGTAAATTTTCTAAATTTCTTAATTTGTTTGCTGTTCAAATATAACTTATAAGCTTGAGTTATCATGTTTTTATCTAAAAGCAAGATTTTAATATTTTAGATTGTTTAATTTCAAACATATAATCTCCCTTTTTAAAATTATAAAAATGCATTCATACTATGAGTACATACTCTCTATTTGGATGATAAAATAACTACAGGTATTTTGATTTAATACTTGCCAGACTTCTCATTACATATGCATCATGCATGCATACACATACACATATACATATACACTATGATAAAAGATTTTATATAATGTTGTTACCTGCTATATGATATAATGTAACATTTGTTATTAAACATAGATGTATTTTATCCTTTTAAATAATAAGATAATGTACTCTTGAATTTCATTTGAAAAATAGTAACTTTTTTGAAAGAAGATTATTTACAGTGATTTCATATAATGGTCTCTTTTTAAAAATACTGTCTATCCAGCAATTGTTTTTCCTATATATACATATTTATAAAAGAAGGATTCTGTGTGTTATGTTGCAGTTTGAGAATAGTTCTGTCAGAAATCATGTTAAGTCCCTGTTCAGTTATTGTTGTCATTGCAATATTTGCTAGATCAATAGTCCACATCATTCTGAGGTGATTAATGAAAGCTCTGCATATAAGGAAGGGGCTTTGGTATTATGTACATTTCTGCTTCTGTGCTGGAGCAGTAGTGGAATAAGAACTCCAAGTGTCTATGTCAAGTGAAGGAAGAGCTCTTGGGACAATGAAGTTTTATTAATGGGCCAAGCAACTAGGTTTTTACTTTCATATTTCCTATAAAAGACATGTTAGACAAGTCCCATGTTACTTGGAGCAAATGCTACAACATCCTTTTGCCACAAAAAGCTTTGATTAGCATGTTACTTTACCAGTTGAAGACTGAGGATGAATATAAAAGCTGGCTGCCTTTAGTGGAGGGCACAGTGGAATTCCATTAATCCTGTGATTATCTTAAGTCACCTGTCATATTTTCTGGCTCCTGCTGCTCTAGATTTTCAGGCTTCCCAGATTTGTAGAAGAATGTCATTCATTTACTGCTTCAGAGGGCTCCTCCTTTGCTGTGTTCAATTGCAAGCTAGTATATATTTTCTTTGGTCTGATCCTATCTTTACTATATCTAAGAGGAGTTTTTCAAAGTGTCTAGATGCTGTAGACATTCTTCTTTGTATATTAAAAACTTAAAAAATAAAACTCCACTAATTGTATGTTTCTTAGGTCATGCCAGTGTGTTTTATGGGGTAAAGAAAACTTATGAACTCAACCCTTTTGAGAAGAATCTTCTAGGCCATCTTCTCTGTTGGTTGAAGAGATACATGTGTGAAATGCTTTCATGAAGTCTAGGTGTATTGCATCTCCCATTTTTCCTTTATTTACCAAATGTTTCTCTTTCTGTGATAGATGATTCAACACGTGTTCCTCTTGGAGAAAGCATGGACTACATCAATGCTAGTTATATTAGAATAGTCAATCATGGAGAAGAGAATTTTTATATTGCTACCCAAGGACCACTGCCACACACTACAAATGACTTCTGGCAAATGGTTTTGGAAAATAATTCTGATGTTATTGCCATGATAACCAGAGATGTGGAGGATGGAGTTACGAAATGCCACAATTACTGGCCCATTTCACTGAAGACGCCTTTGGAGTTGAAACACCTTCGTATCTTCCAGGAGAAATACCAGATACTTAAATATTTCATCATTCGAATATTTCAAATTGTGGAGAAGTCTGTAAGTTTTTAAAAATAAATATGAAGTGTATGTTGTACTATACTACATAAGCAGCTATATTAGGACTAAAAATTAGGATTAAGATGTAATATAGACTGAATAAATACTTTGATAAGTAACCTTTTACTTCCCTTTTATAGAAGAAACTAACTACCATCACTTTTACTTCTGTATTAACCAAACTTTGAAAAGAAAAGAAAGTTTGAGAGGTGGGATGGAGAGAGTGAGTATTAGAAGTTGTCTGATCCTGGATATTCTTTGGCTGCTTCTGCTGAATGTGGCAGATATGTATTGAGTCCTTGAAGTGCTAACCACCTTGCCAGGCACTACTGATACTTATTAAATAGCACAAGATTAATATACTCACTAATTCTTGAATTATTATCTTCAGTGGTAATATCGAGATCTGTATGGAGGGTCAGAAAGAAGTGCTTAGATTTTCTTGAGGTTTAAGGGAAGATTTACTGGAGGAGGTGACATCTGGATGGAGAATTACCCATGATAAAGATAGAGGAAATAAATGACTCACATATAAAACTGCATGAGATGTGTATGTAGAAATATAAATAGTTAAGTATTTCTGTAATGTAAGAGTTCAGTTTCAGGAAATAATGAAAGATAAAATGAAGAGATAGAAAGTAAGCAGGGACTATCCATCTAAAGCATGAAATGTCTTTTTTCACCAAAAGAGTATGAACTTTGTAATAAAAAAACAGTTGGGAGACATTGAAGAATTTTAGTGAGTTGTATGGTCAAATAATGCAGTTGAGTTGAATTGGTAGACTTAAGTGATTTACGACTTGTGGCTTATAAATGATAAAAGGAAGGATTAGAAGTTAGATTGTTCAACATTGTAGACTGACTATTTAAGTTTAAATTTCTATAAAATGACCAATTCAGTTCCTCATTTGCAGTAGTTACATTTCTAGTGCTTATTAGTCATGTTACTAGTAGCTACTATATGGGGCAGCACAGAAGTAGAACATTTGCATTGTTATAGAATGTTCTGTTAAGAAACAATGGTATTGGGCTGGGGATGTGGCTCAAGCCGTAATGCGCTCACCTGGCATGCACGGGGCTCTGGGTTTGATCCTCAGCACCTCATAAAAAATAAAGATGTTGTATCCACCGAAAACTAAAAAAAAAAATAAATAAATATTAAAAAATTCTCTCTCTCTCTCTCTCTCTCTCTCTCTCTTTTAAAAAATTAAAGAAACAATGGTGTAGAGTAATTCATGCTTTAATAGATTTGGAAAATAGAAATGGAATGGAGAAAGTGGTAAGTTACATTACTCAAATTGGTTGGACTAACAGGTTAGTGATGGTGTGTTCATCAGGAGTGAAAAGAAGTTGGAGTTGAACAGGAATCTTGAAAAGAACTGTTGAGATTTGGAGTCATCACCAAATAAGTTGATTGAAACAGAGACAATGACCAAGAAAGGGTTGATAATGAGTGATGCTAGTGGGTGGACCCATAAATTTGCACAAGCAACAAAACATGCAACTGTGTGATTATTTTCTTCTTAGCTGCATAACTTTGGGATCCCTGAACACAGACTATAGGACTAATTCAGGGTGGAATGCTATCTAGTACATGTGGGAAGATTCAAAGAATCAAAGAATTGACAGTTTGGTAAGAGATAATTCAGATAATACACTGTGAAGTGTAAGTTGCTTAGTGATATATGAGGGTTAATAAACAAGGAGTAAATGGAGGACATGAAGACCTCCATTTGGTCATTCAACATTGGAGTTGAAGTGGAGCATATTGAGATAGTAGTGTAGGAGCTTCTGGCCACAACTTGATGTTGGAATTGTAGAACTGCAAATGTTCTATACCAGACATTGTAGTTTTGGTGGTCATCAATGGGAGTAGAAGAAAGGAAGTGGTCTCCCCTGAAAGACAGAAATAAAAATATTGTGAGGTTATTGTGTTTGTTGTGAAGTTTAGAAATGAATTTACTCTGAATGATGATAGAAGTTATAGAAGGGATAAGATTAGGATTTTCAGTGAATGTGCAAGATTGTGAAATTAAGTCACTGGGTGATAACAATGAGAAGATAAAGCCAATATGTGTTAATCTCAAAAGGAAAAGCATTTTATACAAGGAGAAGGAATAAGGAATTGAGAAAAGAAGTGGACAGTAAGAATTGTTGTAAACACTTTTCCAACTTTCCTGGGTATAGAAGAGAGACACAGTCTTTATTCTTGGAACTTTTATAGTCTAGTGAGGAAGACACTAACAAATCAGTTCCAAATGGTGTATGTGCTTAGAGAAGATAGATCAAAATTCCATTGGGTATATATGCCAATTTTTTTTATCCATTCATCTACTGAAGGGCATCTAGGTTGGCTCCACAGTTTAGCTATTGTGAATTGTGCTGCTATAAACATTGATGTGGCTGTGTCTCTGTAGTATGCTGTTTTTAAGTCCTTTGGGTATAGACAGAGGAGAGGGATAGCTGGGTCAGATGGTGATTCCATTCCCAAATTTCCTTAGGAATCTCCATATTGCTTTCCATAATGGCTGTACTAATTTGCAGTCCCACCAGCAAAGTTGGAGTATACATTTCCCCCCACATCCTTGCCAACACTTATTGTTGTTTGTCTTCATAATTGCTGCCATTCTGACTGGAGTGAGATAATATATTAGAGTAGTTTTGATTTGCATTTTTATAATTGCTAGAGATGATGAACATTGTTTCATATATTTGTTGATTGATTGTATATCCGTTTCTGAGAAGTGTCTCTTCAGATCCTTGGCCCATTTATTGATTGGGTTATTTGGTTTTTGTTGTTGTTGTTGTTGCTTAGCTTTTTGAGTTCTTTATATACCCTAGAGATTAGTGCTCTATCTGATGTGTGAGGGGTAAAAATTTGCTCCCAGGATGTAGGCTCTCTGTTCACCTCACAGATTATTTCTTTTGCTGAGAAGAAACTTTTTAGTTTGAATCCATCCTATTTATTGATTCTTGGTTTTAATTATTAAACTCTAGGAGTCTTATTAAGGAAGTTGGGGCCTAATCCCACATGATGAAGATTAGGGCCTACTTTTTCTTCTATTAGATACAGAGTCTCTGGTTTAATTCCTAGGTCCTTGATCCACTTTGAGTTGAGTTTTGTGCATGGTGAGAGATAGGGGTTTAATTTCATTTTGTTGCATATGGATTTCCAGTTTTCCCAGCACCATTTGTTGAAAAGGCTATCTTTTCTCCAGTGCATGTTTTTGGCACCTTTGTCTAATATAGGATGATTGTAGTTTTGTGGTTTAGTCACTGTGTCCTCTATTCTGTACCATTGGTCTACTGGTCTGTTTTGGTGCCAATACCATGGTGTTTTTGTTACTATTGCTCTGTAGTATAGTTTCAGATCTGGTGTAGTGATGCTACCTGCTTCACTCTTCCTGCTAAGAATTGCTTTAGCTATTCTGAGTCTCTTATTTTTCCAGATGAATTTTATGATTGCCTTTTCTATTTCTATGAGGAATGCCATTGGGATTTTGATCAGAATTGCATTAAATATGTATAGTTTTTTTGGTAGTATAGTCACTTCTGCCTATCCAAGAGCAAGGTAGATCTTTCCATCTTCTAAGGTCTTCTTTGATTTCTTTCTTTAGGGTCCTGTAGTTTTCAAAGATTGCACTATATATGTTTAATAAGAATTTAAATGCACCTCTTTCGTTGATTCCCAAGTATTTTATTTCATTTTTTGAGGTTATTGTAAAGGGGTAGTTTTTCTCATTTCCTTCTTAGAGGATTTGTCACTGATATACAGAAATGCCTTTGATTTATGGGAGTTAATTTTAAATTCTGCTACTTTGCTGAATTCATTTACTAGTTCTAGAAGTTTTCTGGTGGAGCTTTTTGGTTCTTCTAGGTATAGAATCATATCGTCAGCAAATAGTGCTATTTTAAGTTCTTCTTTTTCTATACATATCCCTTTAATTTCTTTTGTCTAATTGCTCTGGCCAGTGTTTCAAAAACTATGTTGAATAGAAGTGGTGAAAGAGGGCATCCCTCTTCACAGTTTTTAGAGGGAATGCTGTGGTGAGCCGCTTCTGCCGTTTCTGCAGATTATGGTCGCCATTTCAAGATGGCGCTGGCTCCGCTGTGGTCTGTGACAAACAACTTCTTATCTGGGAAAGTTGGCACATGATTTTTCACCACCCTGTGAGAAAGTTCCACGCGGCAGCTTTGCATTGGGGCTTGGGATGCTTTATTAAGGCTGGGAGGGGCACCCGAGAGGAAGAAGAAGAAATATCCAGGGACCTGAATAAACTGTTGAAAGAAGATTCTCGAGTTGCGTATTCCTTGCGGGCAAGGGGTCGCGACAAGTGGCGCCGAGACCCGGGAACCAGAACTTTCAACAGTCAGGGGTGGTGCACCGGTTAGTCCCAGGTAAGTGGGATCCGCGATCAAAGCGGGGTTAGTCCCAGGTAAGTGGGATCCGCGATCAAAGCGGGGTTAGTCCCTAGTAAGTGGGATCCGCGACCAAAGCGGGACAGCTCCTCTGTAATGAAAGAGAGAGCCTTACATTTTATTGCAGCTGCACTGTGTACTTTCGCTTTCTTTTTTTTGTGCTTTCTTTGTTGTTGTGTCATGGGTGCCGCATCTTCAAGTCCGCTTCTCCTGGCCCTAGATGGCCTGTTACGTTCCAAGGGACTGGAAGTGAAACATAGTACTTTACAGAGATTTTTACAGAAGATAGATATCGCTGCACCGTGGTTTGCATTTTCGGGCAGCCTTACTGTGCCTAGTTGGGATAAATTAGGCAAAGATCTTGACTTTGCTTCTGAGCAGGGCATATTAGAGGGTGGGGTGATACCCCTTTGGAAAATGGTCCGTGGTTGCCTTACAGATGGTAAATGCCAGGAAGCTGTGAGTGAGGGTCAAGCTATTCTTGAGCAACTGCATGAGGAAAAATCTGAAGGATCATGTAGTGGAGTGGCAGAGAGTATTAAAAGTAACAGTAGTGAGAAGGCAAAAGAGCCTGAAGATAA